ACTTATCACCAATTTCTTCATCATCATTCCCATCATAATCATCATCACCATTTCATTAACAACACTTTTCTTATCCTCATATCACTATCAATATCATATTCATTTTAATATTATCATCATATTCTTTTTCTTCTATCATCATCAAATCCACACAATCGTCATCAGCATCATCGTCGTCATCATCATTAAATCCGCACAATCACCATCATCATGATCGTCGTCGTCATCATCACATCCACACAATCATCATCATCGTCGTCGTCATCATCACATCCACACAATCATCATCATCGTCGTCGTCATCATCACATCCACACAATCATCATCGTCGTCGTCATCATCATCACCACTACGCTTTCTAATCATCACCATCATCATAATCAACAACACACATTCGACACCATTATCATTAACATCATTATAATTAACATCAGCATCACAACCATCGCCGTCACCATCAGAATCAGAATCACAATCATCATCACTATCATCATCATTATCACCTGAACAAAGACAGTGAATAAAATAACGGATAGAGTAGCAGTGACAAAGAGTTCCTTGTGCCTCGTGTGCTCGTTTTGCAGGAGGACCACCAAGCAGAAGGCAACTGCGCCCCTCAGCCCTCCGTAAGCCTGTTTAGATTGGATGGATGGTTGGTTGGTTGATTGGCTGATTAATTGATTGATTGGTTGTTTGTTTGGATGATTGCATAGTTGTTTGTTTTGATGATTGGATGATTGAGTGGATGGTCGTTTGAATGCTTGGCTGACGAGTTGATCTTCAATTAAACTGTTCACTAAATAAGGCATGATTCTGTCAACGAATGGTTGATTGATTGTATTGTTTATTCTTAGATTGTACCATCCCCCTTAACATATACCCTCACCCAACAACTCATTACGCTATTCATTCTTAAGGATATATAAATAAAATAACGGAAAATCCAACCAAGATTCGGGTGTATGCGAAACTGAGTAGAAATGTATTCAGGATTAATTAAATGTATTTGAGATCAACAGACGTCGGCAACGAGTACGGTCGGAATTTAAAAATGTACCCCCGGTTTTTAATGAATTGGGATCAAGCATGATGAAGTTAAATGAAGAAACAAACCATGATGAACTGTTCCCTGTTTCCAATGCATCTTGATCGGTTGGTTTTGTTGACGAGGAAAGTCAGCCCATAAGTAACTGCTCAACGGTTAAGAATCAATCAATAAATTAATCGGCCAATCAATTAATCAAAAATTTGCATGAACGAGCCAAACCCAAATTATGCATAAATTACTCATAAATTAAAAATAATTAAATGTAAACAACCAACACAAATCATTCAACAAAAAACATCCTGCCCGGTATTGAACGCGTCATGTGGAAGATTAGCAACTAGCCGATAACTCAATAAACCGACCGACTAGCCACCCAGTCCACCAGCCAACCAGCCAACCAACCAACCAACCAACCAACCAACCAACCAACCAACCAACCAACCAGCCAGCCAGTCAACCAATCATCTAACTAAACAACCAAAACAACCAACCAACCAACCAACCGATAAATCTAACGGCAAGACAAAGCACTACAGACCAGAGGACAAATCCAAGATGCCACTGATGATTATCTCTGATCAGAGAGATGCCAAGGAACATGAAGATGATGCAGTCGCACGCATTGCTGATGAGGCGGTGATGAAGTGAAGATGATTGGTGAGGATGATGATGAGAAGATGATGATGAGAAGATGATGATGAGAGGATGATGATGTGAAATGATGATAAATGTAATGACAGCTGTGATGAAAATGATGAAGTAGCTTATGAAAGAAGTGACGACGATGTTGAACTTGCAGTGAACTCGTTCCAGTGCAAATAAATATCTATCCATCATTATTTAACAATAACATTTATAATATAATAATAATAATAATAATAATAATAATAATGAAAATTTAAAAATAAAATAATAATGACAAACATCGTTTAAAATATCGATAAAAAAGCACCTAAGCATTTTGCTGAAGTACTTGATGGTGACTGAGGAGTTGTTGGAGATGTTGTGGAAGGCGAATTGCATCTGCATCAATCCACATCCTATCATGCTGATGTGATCATGTAATCGTAGTGTGGTGATCATGTGATCGTGGTGGAGATGAAGATGATGATGTGGTAATCATGTGATGATGATAATATGATGATCCTCTGATGAGAATGAATGATGACGATGATTGTGATGATGAGATGGTAATGTGTTGTTGATGTGGTGAGAGTCATATAATTATCATGTGATGGTGAAAATGTTGGTGATAACTTGGTGACGAAAGTGTAGTGATGACAAGTGTAAAGACTGTGATGATTGGAGTGCGATTTAAAAAATTTGAATAATGTAAAATCAAACGACAAAGTGGCAACTAAAATCAATAAATTAAAAGAGGTAACTAACCGAGAAAAATTTTGATAGTAATGAGATTGATGACAACAATGATGACGAACAAAAATGATGATGATCAGAATTGGAAGCGATGGTGACAATGAAGATGATGGTGACAACGATCATAATGGTGGTAATAATAACGTACAACACGATACAAAATACCTGATGATGCCCGAGAAATGAAACAACTCAGCCATGAGGTAGGACGCGTAGGCCATTGACAGGATTGCAAGTGGTTCAACAACTGTTCAAATTAATGATTGATTGGCTGGTTTGTTGCATGGACGAATTGTTGTTTTGATTGAGAGGGAGTTTGTGGCTAGAGTGGTGATGAATAGGTTAATTATTGCTCCTCCGAGGTTTTTCATAATAGGCGCTAAACAAATCATCAGATACAAATAATAATTTTAAATTGATTGAAATAAATGTTCGTGAATAAACTAAATTACAAGTGGTCTGCTGAAAAAGTTGGTTAAATAGATAATTGTCAGGTTGTTTGGTCTGGCGTTCAAAAACATTTGATCGACTGCTCAAATTAAAAACTAAATGTGTGCAGAGTAGTTGAGATATTTGCAAACGATCGATACAGACAAAAAATGCTTTGAATCCTTTTGATCTAAAAGTGAATTTAACATAGCGGTAAAAATTATGGTATTAATTTTGTGCAGAATGAATGATGTTGAAAAAACATTTTAGTACTTTATTTATCGTATGTCTCATCAGCAATTTGTTTAAATGAAAATATGAGATAAAATATCTATTCGCTTGTATGATTTTGAAAAACAAATGCATTTTTTATTACTTCTAAAACCAAATAATTAAAAAATGAATGTGCTAAAATTAAATCAACATTTTCATCTCAAAATTACGTTGCGTTGTTTTATTTAAAGATTTCGTAAAATTTATTGGAGAGCTGTTGTTTTGCTATTCATAACAATGAAGCTACAATGAATGCATAAATAAAACAAATTAGAACCAGGCAGAACTTTGCTTTGTGTCAGCTCAGAGCGATATACAGTTATTAGAATTCTTAATTAAAGTTTTTATACAGTTGGAAAATATGTACTACATTACAAAACACAGAATGAACAAAAACACGAACATTGGGATAATTTTAGTTTTTCTGCTAAAATTGGAACTTAACAGCACTTTTGGGGATTGTAGTTACAATAGCTCAAGAGTTATTTGTTGGGATTTAGACGATGATGAATCTCTGAAGATTTTCATGATGAACGAATCAACTCCGTTCGATAAACTGAAAATAAACAGCTCAGATTTCAACATCATCTGGCCGACGATCTGCAACATGACCTTCTTGAAAGAATTAGATGTGAGTGCTAATAATATTACTGACGTTCCAAAGAACTGCTTCAAACATTTCAGTAACCTGCGAATTTTAGATATGAGTTACAATATGATAGAACATCTGAAACGAGTTATGTTTGAAGGGCTGGAGAACATTTATTACTTGAAACTTTCAAACAACCTTATTCATACAATCGATAACGACGTATTTTTGAATGAAAAAATATTCAACTCTTTAAAATATATACAGTTATCAAACAACCGGTTAACAAGTCTCGAACCATGGCCGATGATGTTGAAGAGTAGTAATGGAACCACGATAGATGTTCGGAGGAATCAGATAACACAATTTACGAACAGTTTAAATTTTTCATTTGATTGCAACAACAAATATAAAAACTACGTGAACATCAGAAAAAACGATATAAAGCATCTGAACGATATATTCAAATTTTGGGCCAATGATATCAACCAAATTTTGTGCAAATATGATTCTATTCCAAACTTGGAAGGAAATATCTTAACGCTAAGATGCGACTGCACAGATTACAGTTTCGTAAGAGCTGTACGTGAAACCGTTCCATCGAATGATTTCTTGTCAAATAAAATTTGCTCAAATTTTTATCAAAGAATGATTTCTTTCCCAATGGATGCGATGATATGTAAAATCACACACATGTGTCCAAAAAACTGCACCTGTTACGAGAAACCGCACACAAATTCACTCGTTGTCAATTGCTCAAATGTCGGATATCAAAATCTGCCAGATGAACTTCCTCCACTCATTCCGCATACGGCATTTTATCAGTCCGAATTGAAATATGACTTAATATTTAGTAAAAATATGATCTCTCATCTCACTGTAAACAAAGCAGTACTTAACAAGACTCAATTTTTAGATTTTAGCGATAACAGAATTGAAGAAATTTCGTACGAGTTGTGGCTTCAGTTAATAAACATTAAGAAAGGTGTGAAGCTGAGCAACAACAGCCTTTCAACATTACCAAAAGAACTCAAAAACACAAAAATATCATCGGAGTTTATAAGTCTGCAAAACAATCCGTGGTCGTGCACGTGCCAACATTCCTGGCTGCATGAGTGGGTGGCATCGCAAGCAGCTGTTTTCCAGCAAGATGGAATGCTGTGTTCTGATCCGCTCTGGCACAAATCAAAAGATCTGTTTAGTGTGGATTTCTGCTACGAACCACCAAACAACTCGTTGTTAATCTTGGTAGTTGTGCCAATTGCTCTTGTTATAATTATCGTTGTCGTCATCATCTGCATGTGGCATCGCCATCGAATCAACACCAGTTACAGGAATGCAGTGAGATTGTATGATTGACGTTAATGTATAACAGTTAACATTGCTTTCAGAAATTTAAATAACAAAATATTATTTAACAAAAATCATGAAACGTAAAACACTAAAAAATGTATTCAATTTTTTAATATTTTAATAAAATAAATATTATCTGCGTTAGCATAAATTTGTGAAAAAAATTAAAGTAAAATTAAATAGGTGTTTTTTTGAACTTAATAAATTTCTACGCCAGTGGCGACCTCTTCGTTGCGGTAAACTTCAAAACAATCTACAAATAACAAAATAACTTAAGCTATCATCAACAACAACATCTCAAACCTCTGGATGATGAAAAATTGAAAAAACAGGGGTCAAGTCATTCTTCAGATGTTCGCTTCCACATTTGAGTCAGCAATTTTTTGTGTGGGAGGTTGGATTTTTTTAAAGAAAAAGTTGACGATTTTTTTGCTTATTGCATATTATTTTTTATTTTTAATAATTATTTATAGTATTTTTTAATCAAATTGAATAAATGTATCTGTTTTGGGGGTCTGTGACAGATTAAAAAAATTTCATGTCGCGATTTTGTTGAATTTAATCTTGACCCCGAGGAGAGAAATATCCATTTTGGGCGTCTGCATGCAATAATTTGAGTCATTGTCACATCGCTTGTTAGAATTTCAATTATGTTATGTAGTGTCGTAAAATTATGCACGCGCAATAGCTAAAAAGCTGTAACATTCAATAAAAAAATGCAATAACCACGTCGCTGATCAAGTTTCAAAACATAAAAACATTCAGAGCTGCACATGCGTAATGAAAAATATACCATTATTTACGAAAAATATTCCTCCTAAAAATAAGAACGAGTCAAAAAAAATACTTATTAGAAGACATGAAAATCGCGAATGGAATGTGCTTAAAAACACGTTTGTTATAATTGTAGACAGATCATAGCGGTGGAAAAATAGATGGTAGAAGCAAGGAAGAGTAAAGTATCCGAGCAAAAAATGTCAGAAATGAATGAAGCAGCTCATGGAAGATGAAGTAAATGCCCGTCTGCAATGAAATTATCGATTAAATAAGTGGAAAGCATAGTCGGCGTTTTTGCGCGGTGCGTGTTACTAGGTTTCAAGTATTTTTAGAAGTTTCCAATATTCTTTTTTATTCGGTGATAAAATAAATATAATTAAACCTAAAATAATTTACAACATTCTCTTTTATTCGTTAATTCGTTAAATATAATCAAACCTAATGTTATCGTTATTTTTTATGAATGTATGTCATTTTTTATGATAACAAAAAGTAATAAAAATAAAAATTTCAACTTAAATAAATGAATGTTGAAGGTGAAAAAAGTGAAGGATGTGATTTATCGAAGAGAAGAAGAAAAAGAAGAAGAAGCATAATTATTCTAGGTTAAAATAACGATAAAAACACATTGCATGTATGATCATTGAACGAATAAAACGCTGGGAGACTCAGTGAGGATACTCACATATGTCCATGGATTATCATGTGCAACAACAACAAAACTTACAAAAAATAATGGTAAAGTAAAAAAACGAACTTGTATAAAAGGACCACAACCACAAAACAAACAATAATTTGATTTTTAATGTACCTATATTTCATAGATCAACATCCTAAACAAAATATCATATTTTCAAAATAGTGGAATGAACTGTTCAAATGGTAAAACATAAAATTTAAATTCACAAACACATAAAAAAAAGTAATAAATTATAAATTTAACGCTAAATTATTTAGGACATAAAAAAAATATAAAAATTAATGAAAATATAAACATAAATGTAGTAAGCGATGAACGAACCTCTGATGTGCATCATAAGTCTTGTAATGAGGGCACTGAGCAGGCCAAATATCAAGCCGATGGTCAAACCGCCAAGACTGACGACGAAGAAAGCTGCTATTGCCATACCGATCTAAAAAATGAGGTTGTGTGTGTGTGTGGTTGTGTGTGTGTGCGTGTTTGTGGTTGTGTATGTGTGGTTGTGTGTGTGCGTGCGCGCTTTTCTGTGGCTGTGCGTGATCATTAAGTGGCAGTTTAGTAATTGATGACGAAGTAATACAAATGACAACTAAAAACCTGATTGATTAACTGGTGAGGAGGAGAAAGTGTTAAAAATAAAATGGTCAATGAAACTGAATGATAAGCCATAAGATTGATTATTCAAGATAGCTTTAAATGATTGCTTGATTGATTGATTGACTGACTGATTGATTTGATTGATTGATTGATTGATTGATTGATTGATTGATTGATTGATTGATTGATTAACTGATTGATAACCAACTTCGGAAACGGGAATATCCCCGCCCATCAAGCTCAATGTGGTAATTGTGTTGTAGAGGACTACAGTGACAGCATCTGGTTTCAGTTAGTGTTTAAATGAAATAACGATTCACGTCATATGAACGAATAACGAATTGAAGTGTTACAAAATTTATCCGGTGAACATAATTCATTTCGATGGTGCAATCAATTGAAAATAATTCAATCCATTTTGTTATTGAAGAAATCTGATACATAACGAATGAATGAATATTCATTAAATCGTTCATTCACCCATTTATTTATACATTCTTTCATTCATTCATTTATTCATTCATTCTTTCATTCATTCATTCATTCATTCATTCATTCATTCATTCATTCATTCATTCATTCATTCATGCGTTCATTCAATCATTCATCCAACTATTCGTCTACTAATACATTCATTCTTTTTGCAGGTTTTTTCTCACACTGATATTTACGAATGAGGTGCGAATTAAAGAGAGGCAAACAAATACCATGAATTATATTTTCTAACGAGTTTCGGCAGTAGTTGTGTGTGTGTTTATTTGTTTAGTGACACACACACACACCATGTGCGTGTCTTCAACTTAAATTATCAGCTCTTACATCCTACTTGAAATATGAACTGATTGATTAATTGCACGAAACATGATGGCTGCCTGGACAAACAGCTGACGTCATCCTGCTCATATATCGGAAGCATACCTACTTCCATCCTTAACGCATATATTTATTACCTACCTTTGAACGAACGCCTCTAATGATGAGGTTGATGATGATGAGAAGATGGTGATCACGATGATGACGACAATGATAGTGTTATACAAAATTTTCAATTATTCATCGGGTTGTGCTGTGCCATCAAAAATTCAACGTGATCCAACAGAAGTGCGAACAATGCAAAAAAATTCTCCCAAAAGGCAAAAACGAACAAAGACAAAAAGCAAAATAAATCAGATTAAAAACCAACAGAGTAAAAAAAACAAAAAAAACGAATAAACAAACAAACATATAAAGAAACAAACGAACATGAAAACAAATTAACAGATAGGCAGGTTTAAAGAAAAGATCAAACGAGATGAAACCCAACGTTTAAATGAATAACAGCTTTAATAAAATTATCTAACACTAGAAATTCGGTAGATTTCATAAATTACTGCATTCAAAGATAGATACAAAGATAGCTGCATTTTTGAATCGGAAGCTAAACAAAAACCATTAAATTTACTTATAGATATTTACACATCATACAATTTGGTTAACATATATAAATTTGATACATTATTACACACATACATACATACGCACTGATACAAAAACACCACACACACACACACACTACACACAGTCTACACAACAAACACACACCACACTCATAAATACTTGCATACAGTCACACACACGCGCGCGCACACACACGCACGCACACACATATATATATATACATACATACAAAACATACATACAAAACGTACTTATATATATATATATAATAATCATAAATACAATTATTTATAAAGATCACGGGTTTTTGGCATTATTCAACTAACTTGTAGCTGAGTTTCTCAATTTTTCTATATTCTGTTTATTTCTGCATTCTATATTTTCCTGACTTTTTTTATATATTAAATGTTTTTATTTTACCTTAATAAACTTCATAAAAGTCTCGTTAGAAAAATTTAGAAACTCAACTACAAGTTGAATAATGCCGAAAACGCAGTGATCTTTATAAATAATTGTATATATATAATACATACATACATACATATATATATATATAATTCATTTTTTATTCAAATAGTTTTCAACGGGGGGGGGGGGCACGAACGAACAGTGAATGAATGAATGAATGAATTATGCATTTACATACATGAGCATAAGGAGAGTTAATTGTGAACTTCAGCATACACTATGAGTTCGTTGTGTACTGATGTCTGCGATAGATTTTATTCCTATTAACGTGTCTCTACTCTCCAGTCACTGAACTATTTTCATTTGCGAATATTCCAAATATATTATAATATGAATATAATAATAACAACAACAACAATATCAATCATAATAAAAAAAACAACTATATTTTTATTATTATTACCAATTAGTTATATTATAAACAATTATAATGGATGACATCAACACATGCGATAGAAGTGGATTGTGTATTTGAGCAAGAAATTGAATTCCGCGAATACCATTCAGAAACTCTTTGTAAAAAGCGCTATACAAAAGTTGAAATAATTATAATGAAAAAACATTAATAATAATAATAATTAATAACAATAATTATTATGATATTATTTCTTAATTAATGTTTGATATCCCAAATCGGTGATGATACATACTCAATGCGACAACAGACCAAATAATGAATGCAAAGATCAAACAGCGTTGAATGAGAATAAATAAATTAATGAGGTCACGATGATGAAGACGATGATGATGGTGAAGGTGGTGGTGATGATGAAGTGATAGTGAATGAAAAATGTCTGTATGTGATCATCCGTGCATTGGTGATGAAGATGGTGATGATGGTGACGATGGCGATATGTCATGATTATGATGAAGATATCATCGATGTAGAGAATAAACATTGTTTAACCAAACAAAATTACACTTAGGTAAGCAAATAAACAAACATAAACACAAACATGAAATAAAAATAACAATTTCATGAAACAGAAATACATATTCACATGAAATACATAAAAAACAACCGTACACAAACACACTTAAAAGCATACAAAAACACACACACCTTAACATACAAACAAACCCACGCACGCCAAAACACAACCACACAAGAACACACACGCCTATGAACAAACATACAAACACAAACATTCACCAACACACATCCATACAAAAACATATGCACACACATAAAAACACAACACGTACCATTGAGTAAAGATTCGCCAAAGACAAGAAAGTATAGAACACTGTTGACTCCAACCTCTTGAAATATCGCCAACACCTGGTCAGGTGTGGTACAGGTGAGATGATCAAGATGACGACGACGATGATGATTAGTATTATTTTATTCACTATCATTATCAATTAATCAATCAAATATTATTATTATATGGCTATTATTATTATTATATTATTATTATTATTGTATAAATATTATTATGAAAAGAAGAATAAAAAAAATAGTTAAAAAATAATATGAATTAAAACGTTATTAATATTACTAATTAATATATTAATATTGTAAAAACTTTCATCAGTAAACAATCGTTGTACACATTAATGCTAGTTTAGACGAAAAAATTTGTATAAATCATTTTTTTTGACTCCACCATTTTTACCACATTATCGATCTCCTTCTTCTCCTCATCGTCAACACAACAGTTAAAGGCAGCTCGCATTGTATCCGGAGTGGTGAGTAACTCGCCAAGAGAAGCAATGTTATTAGAAACCCAATTGGAGCATGAAGACATCAAATTAGGTCGGCTCAGAGCAAAAAAGCAGAAGACAACAAAAATGGCAGAAAACGTGGTACAAACAATGGTAAAAAAAAGATAGGCGTTCAATATGCTACACACCAGTTAAAAACAGATTGAGGAATATCAACTATTCTGACATGCAAAGGAGTGGAGTACCCTTGAGGAAAGAAACAATCAAAATAATAAAAGCAAAGAATCAAAAGAAAGATCCAGTTGAAGATCAGAATAAAGCCGCACAGAATGCTTTTAAAAAGCAGTGAAATTTGATGTGAAAATTTACACAGATGGTTCGGCGGAAGTAAACACATAACACGGCGTGGCTGCAACGATCACCTACAGAAGAGACGTCATAGTACACAAAGAGAGGGTGCACGTAGGAATATGATGCAGCAGCATTGACGCTGAACTGTTAAAAATTTCTGTTAAATGAAATGAAAAAAAAGTAAAAAATGTACAACGTGAAAAACGTGGTAATATTAAAGGTGAAGAGTGTTGGACATTATAGGTACGATATTAGGCATGTTGGAAAATGATTTTGATCAGTATTAGTCAACTTCCGTGATTTTAAATAGAAAAAAAAAATTCCCCCCACAACCAGAAGAAAACTAAAAAATTAATGAAGATATCAATAAAAAATTAATTTGCCTTTTTATGTTAGAAGACAGGAAAATGATATGGGTGAATTGAGCGAATTTATTGATCTATTAATTTTTAAACTTGAAGTAGTTACGATCAGTGGTATGGTTAGCGCCACCAGTAAAGATTGCATGGATAGAAGATGTGGTGGGGATCTTCAAAAATGCACATGACACAAGTTTTCGCACGAATATGGCATATGGAATATCTTTTGTTGATATCATCAACACAGCAAAATCCCAAAAAAATTGTTGACAAGGTGACTATCGATTGACCTTTTTGATATTCAGGAAAATTGTTCTGTGAGTCAACCAATCGATGATGTTGTGACACGAGTGAATAAAATAAATAATTATATAGTTGAGCCGGGAACATAGCAAAATAACGTTATATACAACAAACCATTGATCTGCACAACGATGAACGTTAATTAATTACTGGTCCCACTAAATTTACTGCAAACAACTGAGTGTTGACAACATACTTAAACATTGTTTACTGAACTAAACATGTGCTTGCAAAGGCATTAGTCTAAAAAATATTTGATCACTTTCCAGTTTTCACAAAAAGTAATTAACATCCTAGCCCAACAATCTAAATATTCACTTGTGCACAATCGATTGAACCTATGTATAATTTTTCTGCCAAATATCAAACAAGAAATATTGGAAAAAAAACAGTGGTTGGATAAATTATTATTTTAAATTGCAAACAAGTGTTTCAAGCAATAAAAATACGCTATTACAAAATTCGTGGCTAGAGATGATGAATTTTCTGAAGTGATTGAAAACATGCTTGAAAACGTGTTGGATCGTCAGATCTTTAATTAGCATTTAAATCGTCGTAACTATATGATCACACACAATTAAGACAATTGTAGTAACAACCCATCCAACAACGCCATCCTTTAAATTGAAAATTGGGAATATTTATAACAGCCAAAATGATTTCAATTAAAAAATTAAAATTCTTAATAAAATTTAGAATTTCAAACAATCTGGTTGTTCCTTATACTCTTAAAAATAAAAAAAATTTTGTTATAAAACAAATTTTAAACATAATTAATGGATAAAGTCATTATTTTTTCATTCATCTATTCTTAATGTATATTTCCTTCTAAATTTGTATCTTATCTTTGTTTAAAAGTGAAAAAATGAATAATTTATTTCATGAACAGCATTTTAAATTCTATATTCATCGCAACATTTTGGCAGGAAACTTGATCCTATTTAAGTTTAAATGTCATTTCATGTATCATAAACATTCTAAGCTTGTTATGGATGAATATATGAACAAAACAAAGCAAATAAACAAAAACACACCACTCGTTACAATGAAGTTAAAATTTTGGGTTATGGTTAGGTTATATGCATCAAACACTTAAAACGGATCTCCAATTTAACAACTGATTCATTGTTAAATTAATAACGTTTTAATTCATATTAGACAAAAGCTAATTTTTTCCTTTTTTGGTTACGCATAATGATTTTATGTACCTTAACAAAATCAACTTTAATCTTCCAAAAGTTTCTTGACATACATATACACACACACTACTTACTGCACACAAACATTCGTGAAATCAATCATATTAGTTCAGATTTCATTCAATCTTACCCAGCCAACTGTTTGTCAAAGGAGACCACTTATTATCAGTTCAGGTTTTGAGTCAACAAGTCAGCATTAATAAGCTAACTTGTGTCTGTACATATGTATGTATTAATTACTAACGTAAGCTTCAGTATGTGTGTAAAGTGTAAACAGTGCCTCTTAATTAATGTATATTACATTATGCAAAGAAATCTGTACAAAATGCGTACACATAAATAAATGTAATATCTGTAGGCGTTGTCGTTTGTGAGTTTAGGTGATTCGTGAAAATGTAATAGAGTAGGAATGTAAGTATGTATGTTTTTAAGTTGTTTGTTGTTGGAGGCTTTCAAAGAGTTTTATGTAACCGACGTGTTTCAATGATGCAGAACATGTACGTATACAATTTTAAGATATTTTATCGAATTATGATGTTATATTAAACAAATAAATCTCATCTCTTAGTATAATGTGAAATTTAAGTTTATGCCCATAATGCCATTTTAATAACTAGAAGCCTAAGTATTACATTGATAATATATTATAGAATATAATATATTATAGGGTAAAATAAGATGAGCATTTGAGTAATGTACATTTCTACCAAGTGGTTTCTATTCAGATCAGTTGATATATGCGATGCAGTGCAGACTATGAAGTGATTTAATAAAGTCACGAAAGTAAATTTTTATAGACGATGACGTTAATAAATAACAATAACAACAATGATGATAACTAAAATGATGATGATAACTACAACGATGATGATAACTACAACGATGATGATAACTACAACGATGATGATAACTACAACGATGATGATAACTATAATGATGATGATAACAATATTGATAATGCAGTATGTAAGAGTGTAGACGAGGAGATAACTGTACACAATAAATAGATAAAATGTTGGCGATGGTGATGATGTCGCTAAACGATATTGTTGTTGATGACGTCAGTGAAGATCGTATTGTTGTTGATGACGTGCTGTATCTTGAGTAATATGGCCATGCCTGTTTTTATTTATTTTCTGAACAGAAAAATTAATTATTAAATACATTTGTGCGTGTGTGTGTGAGTGTGTGTTTGAGTGTATATGACCATACCAGCACATTGTCAGAATTATCAACAACCAAAGTTCAATTGTTAACGCGCCATTGTGTTGGGGCAAAATAAAAATTCAGTGCCCGATAACTGTTGAAAGTTCGTAACGGAAGATTGATTTGAAATGTTCAAAAATAAATTTTTAATTATTTTAGAATAATTTTTAAAGTTCGTTTTTACATTTTTCGCATTAATGAGCAAAACCAACCGGTACATACACCTGCTGCTGAAAAATAATCAGCCACATAGCCGCATGATTTACTGATACGCCGATCTTTCTTTTTACATATTCCTCAACGCACATATATATAACCATACAAGTGTTTTGCTTCTTGAAATTTGTTTGCTGCCTCTTACATTTTTAAACCATTATATTTTATTGTTTTTCTGCATTTACTTCCAACCAAAACAAACAACTTCACGTCACATAATGCAATCTAGATAAGAGAATAAAAATTTTTTTTGAAAGAACGTCGTAAACATTAGCACGATGTTGTGTAAACGACTGGTACTACTACATTCCCAGTTCTGATGCAGGTGACTTACTGATTTACCTACTAGCAACGCAATTTGTAAGCACCATCGTTACAACCACTATTATGATCTCAATCATCATATTATCATCATCATCCTCATCGCCATTTTTATTGTTATTTACTATGCAACTCTGACAAACGCGGAGCTGTTCAAATCGTTTATACCTGGTTGCAACAAAACTCTCACGGCACAAATACTGCAACTTCAACACCACACGACATGTATAAAGACACCGCATCGAGGTGTATGATGATTTTGGAGTTTCACAAAGATAGTATTCGAACCAGATCATCGCGAAACAACGACGCATGAGGCGAGACATGGTATTTTTAGTCTACTCGTCAACCATTTTTACACATTACATTTCTTCGCGTTACACCTATGACATCAGTATCACAATCGACACATAATCAACACACCGACACGACCAATTCATTACCACCACAGCAACAACATAACGATCAACTCATAGAAACTCACGGCAACAGGATCTACAGCAACGATGAGTGATGAAAAGACGAGACATTCGATCAGTGATATACTGAAAGTTCCCATTGCTCCGATGTATGCCAGACAGAACAAAACAGGACCTGTGTGTGTGTGTGTGTGTGTTTGTATGTGAAAATGTTTGTCTGTGTGTGTGTGAGTGTCTGTGTGTGATTGGCTCAACAATGCAGAATCTGTGTATGTACAGTGTGTGTATGCGTGTGTATATTAAAGCGTTTGTTGATTGTTCATTGTGATGTTAATTAACGTGGTATAGCAATAATGTGGTATAATGTGATGTGATGTTGTTATTACATGGTTGTGATGTTAACATTGTTTGCTAGCAGCTAAACCATACCATACCTGACTTGTGTGTTTGTTTGTATGGGTGAGTGTTTGTGTAGGTCTGTGCGCATATTTGTAATATACGCGTTTGTGTGCGTGTACAAACGTATATTAAAAACCTTCCAAAAAACATTCACATATATAAGTACAGACTGAAACGTAGATATATACATAGACTCATGTGGAATATGCACACAATATAAACACACACATCCAATAAACCCAATGTCAAACATACCAACACAGTCAGAGCCCCACATACAAAAAATCATAAATCTGCAATCACAAATAAAAAGACACACATACAAAAGCAAACACACATACAAACCAATAATGAAGCAATTGATCAGGGTTCCCTGGTAAAAATTAAAAAAATAATATTAAGAATGTAAATTAAGTGCAATAATATCTTACATCGTATAGACAAACGTAGTGCGATTACATATGCATGAACTATCGATTGAAACAAGCCTACCCACAACCCATGCACCCACGCTGACACACACACAACACACACTTACACACACACACACACCACACACACACATACTACACAAATGCAAACGCATACAAACTCACTGATTTCCAACAATTTATGTATGACATTAATACTCAATTTATATACCCGCATATAATTTTTAAATAAATTTAATGCCTTACGATTCCTTTTTTCTTGAAGTTTAAATTTTTATTAGAGATTGAAAAAAAAATGATGAAAAGGTTGGAAAAAAGAGAGTGAGGCAAAGAAAATGATAAGGAAAGTTGCCGTTTCGTACCTGAAATGTTGGAATAAATGAAGTCAGGCATTCGGTAATTTACTAACTTTTCGTTGAAAACAATTCAACAATTTTTCATTAACCTCATTAGAAAACTTTTATAAAAACCAAGTGGCACCTTGTAAACTGTCAATTTTTCATTTTTGCTAAAAGAATTATTTTTACTAGTTCAAACTTTGGATTCACTATGAGCGATCACGAAGAGTCTGATAAAAACTTTTTCTAGGACAAATCAGCGTCTAGTTCAAAATCCATGTCTTCCACACCAGTGAAAAGAAAGAGATTCAGTGTTTCTGAATCTAGATCAAAAACCCCAAGCAAACGAAAGCATTCTAAAAAAAACATTCTTCATCAAGATCGAAGAGTCGTAGTTATCAGAATAGTTATCAGGTCTCGATCTTATGATATGAGAAAGAAGTATTCAATTTCAAGATACAACAGAAGGTCACCCAATAGATCACCTCCGTTAAAACGAAGACGCATTGGAGATAGGGAGAATCCTAAAAGAAACAAATGCTTAGGTGTCTTTGGGATGAGTTTGTATACAGTTGAACGAACGATTCGTGAAATATTCAAAAAATATGGCCCGATTGACGTTCAAATAATATATGACCATTATAATGGAAGATCACGCGAATTTGCTTTTGTCTATTTTAAATATATTGATAATGCTGTGAATGCCAAAGGGTATGCAACTGGTATGGAAATTGATGGCCGTTAGGTCAGAGTTGATTGAGAGAGCACATACGCCAACACCAAGAATATACATGAGGTTTAATAGGGGCTAAAGAGGTAACGAACGAGGCAAGCACAATTCTCCCTCACTAGCCAGAAGAGGTCACTCATCAAATTTATTGATTTGAGGGGACCAATTTAATTAAAAACTTAAATACATCGCTTTTTTTATTTTTCTTTCTTCCATTTTTCTTTTTCTTATTTCATTTTTTTTTATTTTTTAAAACTGAGCTGATTAGATTTGATTTTATTAGATATTTTCCATTTTAATAATTAAACTTAATAATTATTTTATTGTTAATAAGCAAATTTTCGAATAAATTAGTCAACAAATGGTTTTTTGCTTAATGTAAATTAAAGTAGCCTCGAATTCTGTACAACTCCTTAGGAACAAAAACAAAATGATTGTACGTTCAAATTAAATTGGTTTTTTGGTTAAACTATGGAGATTATGTTCGCTTCATCTCAAAATGATGGCAAACATCAAAAACTATCAGATGCAAATATAAAAGTTCAACAACCTCAACACCTTCAGCAACATATTCAACATTGTTGGCAAAAGCAGAAGAACCCACAAACATGCAGGAAAGCTTCGCAACAGAAAACACTTAGATGACGTTGAGATAACATAAAAAAGCCATTCAGTTCATGTAACACAAGAAACATCACACACACACAAACACACCATACACACACATATAAACACACATGTATAAACTCAAACACATACGTTAGAGCACACGTGTAAGAACAAATACAAACGCATCTATATACAAACAGCAAAGTAACGATCGAATTTAAAATCAAACAAGAAAAAATGTTTCCTATTTTGATCGGGATTTATTGAAACCGGTTTTAAACATTATTGTTACTATCAATGAAAAAGTACGCAGTAAGTTTTATGTAAATTCAAATGTAAAATGTAAAACTGTTTAGTTTATGACGTTTATGAGCAAGTAAAAATGATGAATTTAAATAGAAACATAATTAGAATGGAAATATAATTTAATTTATTTTCGGGTCAAATTTTTGAAACTTCAAATACGTAAATGAAGCCATCTCGTTCACTGACAAGAATTGAAATCAATCAAGAAGGATTAAACCACACCATCACATCATTCAAAGTTTCAACAACCTGAGCTTCATTCCAGATTATTCGAAACTTACGTGTTCCTTCAGCACCCACAAAATTCTTCTTCCTACCAACTCAGGTAAAAAGAATTTTTTTTTTCCTATAACGAAGAGAAAATTATTTCCGAGATTCCCTTGTATTTTTAAACTGTTTGACAAATGCTCTTCGTTGCATATCGGTAAACATAACTCGTATTTTGCAACAAGCATGCGCGCGTGTGTGCTATAAAAGGTGATACGCGAACATATTGAATAATAGGCAGACATCGGTTATACTCGCAACGTTAATTTTACTTTTATATAACTTTCTTTTATGTAGAAACATCAATTTATTTTTCTTTTATTTAAATTGATTTATATATTGATTAAACTTAATTAAAATTAAATATTACCCCTCTATACAAAAAACCCATTACTCACACATACACACACACACAAACATGCACGCACACGCACACACACAACACACACAGGCACACCACAAGACAAACAGACACCGACTAACAAAGATGGCATAGAACAAGATAGTTCCAAGGTTTTCAAAAAAGACAGGATCGTGGAGACCATAAGCTGCTTCCAAGATGCATCTGTCGGGATGATGAGAACGATGAGGCCGATGATGACGTTGATGATGTGGTGTGTTGATGTTGATGCAATGATATTGTTTTAGTTGATATGTTTCAAATCTTAATGATAGTGCTTTGTTATCATAACACTATCATAATAGCGTTATTAATAAAGTTTGAGGCATTCAGTATAAGCTATGAAGTGTTAATGCCTTTATTGTGATGTAATTTACTGTAGTTGCAATGGTGTGTTGTTTTGTTGGGGTCGTTGTGTTGTTGTTTCGTTGTGGTCGTAGTGTTGTAGAGGACAACTGAGGGTGTTGTTGTTGGGAAATGATGGTATTTTCTGTGATATGTGTGGCGTTCTTATGAGGTACATAGAGGTGTAATGTCTTTAATGTTAATGTTGACGATATTTTCGCTACTTGGTTTTATTGTTTTCAGTAAGTCGATATATATGTAGTTGTGCTTTTACATTTTTGTACGATGTTATATATTAGTGTTATTTTGGCGAAGATCTTGTTTTTGTTATTGCAATGGTATTGTTAACTTAATTGTGTTGTAATGGTTATAATGTTACTTTTACGTCACTTTTGCCCTGGCTGCAATTAGAGATCCGGTTTTTCACCAAGATCATGAATGTGCAATTTCATTTTATTCTTTTTAATCGCTACAACAGCAGCCTCATCATAGTGATGTTATAACAATTTATTCCAGCTTAGAAAACGTAATTAAAACAATGTTCATATTTCTGGCGAGGCGTTCAAATTTCATGTTCCTAATTATCATTTGTGCTCCTAATTGCTTTCTATGTATAACTGCTCGTTTCTTGCAAATGCTCCACAATAACAGGTTGGTTGGTGGATGGATTTTTATGGATGGAGGGAGGTGCAACTCAACTGAGGGAGGATTGTTATAATTGTGGACAGATGATTGTAACGAGAAATGTAATAACTAATATGACGATGACGATAAATAAGATTATTACGATACTAACGATGAGATAGTACTAATCAGAATGAAGATGATAATGATAACGATAATGCCAATAAGATGATAAAAGGGTGATAACGAAGAAGAGTAAGAGAAGGCGGAAAATAATGAAGAGGAAGATAGCGAAGAATAAAACAATTATTACTAAAGAAAATGCAGGCCCTCTCAAGTTGCAAAACAAATTTCAAGTTAATATAACGTAAGTTAAGGATACCATGTATATGCCATGTCTTGAATGAGAATGTTGTTTTGCATGTCAATTCGAAGGAGTGGAAAAATGATTATATCATCAGACTATATCACATGATTATATCACCAGTGAAATAATAATATTACAGATAATGGTTATTAAGTAGCCAGGAACACAAACAAATTATACAGACCAAAACGAGCAAACAAACAAACACAAACATACAAACAAAACATAACATACAGATAAAATAAAAACAAACAGGCAAACATAAAAACATACATATACAAACATACAAACAAACAAACATACACATACAATACAAACATACAAATAAAAACTAACGAACAAGCAAACACACATCAAACAAACACAAACATACAAACACGTCAACACAAACAAACATACATACCGATACAAACAAACATGCAAACATACATATACAAACAAAGATATACAAACATATAAATATACATAAAAAACTAACGGCGGAAGGAGAAATAGAAAGAAGGTATCTGGATGAATGTAGTAAAAACTCGAATGGTCTACATTGGCAACGCTATAAAAATGAAACAAATGGTTTTATTGAAGCAACAAAATGCAGTAGTTGAGCATATTTTTTGTGATATTATTATCATCATCACCAGTATAAGTAACGCCACATCGCCATCATGATCAACATTATAATTAACATCATTACCAACACCATACCATCATCAACGTAATCATTATCAAATCCAACATCGTCAATATCATCACTTATATCATTATCAACATCATCATCATCATCATCATCACCATCAACAATATAATCATTATAAACCTTATCACGTCAAAATCACCAAATCCCATTACCGTATAGTCATCATACAGACATTAATTATATAGTCGTCTTAGTCAACATTATCATCCTTAATATTATCATTACATTACCAGCATCACATTATCATGATGACTTACTGTAGAATAGCTCCAACGATAACTCCAAGAACAATGAGAAGACTGTAATGTAATGAGAATGTAATGTAATGTAATGTGATGGAATTAAAATGTAATGTGAAATAATTGTAATGTAACGTGTACTAATTATAATGTAATGTTTAGTAACTGTAAGGTAATGTGGAGTAATTGTAATGTAACGTGAAGTAATTGTAATGTAACGTGAAGCAATTTTAGTGTAATGTGCAGCAATTGTAATGTAATATGAAGTAATTGTAATGCAATGTGAACTAATGTAACGTGAAGTAATTGTAATGTAACGTGAAGCAATTTTAGTGTAATGTGCAGCAATTGTAATGTAATATGAAGTAATTGTAATGCAATGTGAACTAATTGTAATGTAACGTAGAGTAAATGTAATGTGTAATGTAAGGTGAAGTAATCGTAATGTAACGTGGTGATTGTAGTTTAATGTAAAGTAATTGTAATGTAATGTTAAAAAAAACAATAATGTAATGTGGAGTAATTGTAATGTAATGTGAAGTAATCGTAATGTAATGTGAATGTAAAATAATTGTAATATAATGTGAAGAAATTGTAATGTGATGTGATATAATTGTAATGTAATATAAAAAAAGAACCATATAGTACTGTATTGATAAGTGTATATAATTTGAAGTCATGTAATGCAATAGGATGTAAAGTAATGTAATGTAAATTAATGTAAGTTAATGCAATATAAAGTTAAGTAATAAAATCCAATGAAATGTAACATTGTTTTGAAATAAAATATGATATTACGTGACATAAATTATATTTTTGTAATGCAATGTCATGTCTAAAATTTAATATTGCAGTTCAATATTTTGCAATACAAATTTTATATTACAGCGCAATGTAATAAAATGTAATGCAGCGTAATGTATCAAAAGGTGCGTAATGTAATGTAACGCAATTTAATGTAAACAGCACCATTACAGTCACCATCAATGTTATCAGCACATCATAATTCCCTCGTTATTAGTATTGCCATTAATGTTTCAACGTTCAATGTCATCATCAGCGACGTAAGATTTATTGTATGAAAGGTATGTCAAATAAAAATTGAGTAAGAATGAGAGTAAATGTGTTAATTTAAATTACGGGAGTGATTGAGTAAGTCATTTTCATTTTAAATTAAATGGTCATAATTTATTTTTTGGCCATGAAGTTAAAGATCTCGGAGTATTATTTGATGAAAATGTAACTTTTACAAATCATATCTATTCAGCTAATAATAAATAATTTAATATTTTGGGAATAATTTCTAGAAATTTCCATAATATAACTAAATTTGTTTTTTTTTACAGTTACATACAACACTAGTTCGTTCTCACACAGAGTATGCTGTCAGTGTTTGGTGGCCTTGAAGAATGAAGGTCTTGAATGACATTGAAAAAGTACAGAAAAGGGCTACGAAATTCTGATCCCAGTCTCCCAAACTTGTCAAGACACGGGGACTCAAAAACCAAAAGCAACATGTTAAGGACGCAGTCATTCAACAAAAACATTCGGAAATATAAATTTTTCTTGTCGTTTTGTGCATCTATGGAATACATTGCCTAATAATGTAGTGAATGCAAGGGACGTTAATGATTTAAAAAAAAGTTTGGATGCTTTCCCGCCTGATGTTTAATTTCAGTACTCCTGTCATTGGAATATGCTTTGTGAAAGGCTAATATATCATTTAATTCATCTAAACTATATATATATATATATATATATATATATATATATATATATATATATGTACCTCACTTGGTTACAATAATTGAGTTGTGCTATCTTAAGATCTTAAGCCTTATTCGGCAGGCTACTGACGAGTCTCGTGAGAAACGAAACGTACGTCTGGCCTAACGCGGGTAATGGTTTACCAATAATATATATATACATATATATATATATATATATATATATAATATGCTCTCATTTTTACAATTGTCACTGGTAATCATTACAAGAAAACCTTATTTTCTTTTCGATTTCCAGATCATTTCTTTTCATTGATATCATTTCTCTGATTTCTTTGTTTTGATTTGATGAAATAAAAAATGTCAAAATGCCAAATATATATATATATATATATATATATACATATATATATATATATATTACATATATAAGTATATATATATATATTAAGTTATATGTTCATTATAATGGATTTATTATAATTTTAGTTTATATGGTTATAATTTTTATTTTGTTAATGTTATTTTATTTTTTTTATTCATTTCTTTATTTTTATTTTACTTTTAAATATTTTTTGTTTTTCTTTCTTTCTGTTTAATTCAATAAATAAATAAAACCTAATGTAACGTGTATAAAATTTAGTGTAATTGAATGTAATAAAGTGAAATTCTTAAAATTGGCGAAGTAATGTGATGTAATTTAATGTAATCTTCTCAACTTATCTCCATCAAGTGCCTTAATGTCAGCATTTAAGCGAACTGTTTTCCGATAATTACGAAAGCAATTTATAATTTGCATGTTAGTTGTGGCTTTTATCTAATGCTATCATTTTTAAAAAACATTACGATAGTTTATTACGTTAGAGTGCTTTGGTATATACCTTTATTTATTATTACTACTAAAAATATAATAATAATAATATTATTATTATAAATTTTATTACCAATATTGTAGTTGTTTTTATTAGCATCTATAGCATAACCATCATCTATTTTGCACGTAAAGATTATCTTCAACCTAATCGCCAACAATTAAGTTAATGACGACGACTGCAGGTTACATCCTGCAACTGCAACCATCACAACATTTCTCTACGCTAATATTAGTTCATCTTCGTGCCTTTTATAAAAAAATACCTTATATTTATGTTTGAAAATGTATTTTACTCTATGTATTGTATTGTATAAATTGTATGTATTGTATTGTACGCATTGTAATGTTTGTATTGTATGTATTGCATATAATGTATTGTATTGTATGCATTGTATTTTGCGTATCGTATTCTATGTATTGTGTTCATTGTTGTATGTGCTGACATCGCATGTTATGCATACTTTTTACAAATAGTTCCTGTTTTTCTGCGTTTTAACATGCATGCTCGTTATTTTATTCTTCCAATTCACCGATCACTGTCATTAAAGCTGCTTGCCGTTTCGTTATTTATTACCTCACACTATGATCACAATTCATTGTAATCATAAACTTAATGAGTGCAAGTATGAATGATCGAACTCATGACAGACAAACAAAACTCCAAAAGCAAGCGCATAAACTCAGGCGTGAAAAGCGCAATACTGTACATAAAATAATATATGTACTAATAATATATAATATATATGTAATAATATATCACATTATTGACGGTGCACGTGCTTTCAACAAAAAATACACCAATTAGGTATTTATGCCGGTTACTAAATATAGCCTACCTTGAAAATATTTATTATTGTCGGCATTCATACAATCATCATTAAAACATTTAATATTGTTATGTTGTTCATGGCTTGTCCTGGTTATGACATTAAACTGACCCTCACTGCCTTGTGAGTGATGTTGGATCATCAAAGGCTAGGCCCACCGCTTATAACTGTGGTTGCGTAAGGAAGGGCGTCCTGTGTAAAAATTAGCCAAATAATAATACTTATGATGACGGAAAAAACAATGGCCCTCAGTATCCGGCAGAAGAGGGTGCGAAGAATCTCCGGAGACCCAGTCCATGGGGTTGTGGTGCAAGGCCCTGTGGATGGTCTGGCTACTGGCACCCCACTCTATAGTGTGGCGGTGCAAGGCACTATAGATGGAAGGACTACTTGTAGACCAAGGGGTTGGAGGTTTGGTACCTGGAATGTAGGCACGTTGACAGGAAGAAGTTTGGAAGTGGTGGAGGAGCTGCAGAGGAGAATGGTTGACGTGGCTGCATTACAGGAGATCAGATGGAAGGGTGAGGGTACAAGGTTTGTGGGGGCTAAAGGTGGAAGATATAAGTTGTGGTGGAAGGGGGATGATGGTACGGGAGGAGTTGGTGTGATGGTAAGAGAAGAGTTGGTGGAGAAGGTGTTGGAAGTGAGGCGGAGAAGCAATGAGGTAATTGTGGTGGTGATGGTGTTTGGAAAAGTAATAGTGAGGGTGATATCAGGATATGCTCCGCAACAAAGTAGGAAGGAAGAAGAGAAGGATAGGTTTTATGATGATGTTTCTGACGAGATCGGGCAAGCGGGGTTGAATGAGTTTGTGGTGTTGTTGGGTGATTTGAATGGTCATGTGGGGGCGGATGCAGACGGATATGAAGGTGTACATGGGGGATGGGGATATGGTATACGGAATGAGGAAGGGCGTAGAGTGTTGGAGTTAGCGGATGCACATAGCATGGTGGTGGGGAATACTTGGTTCACAAGGGAACCAGCGCGATTGATAACTTATAGGTCAGGGGAACATAGATCGATGATAGACTATATATTGGTAAGGGCCAAACATAGGAAGTATGTGAAGAATGTGAAGGCGATACCTGGTATGTTGCAGCATAGTATGGTTGTGATGGATGTGACATCAAAAGAAATGGGGAGGAGGAAGAAGGATAAGTTTGTGGAAAAGAGAAAGACATGGAAGTTGCAGGATGCAGAGGTGAGGAAGGCATTTGAAGTGAAGGTGGCTGAAAATTGGGAGAGTGGTAAGGATGGAGATGTTTGGGAGAGATACAGGGACTGTGTGTTGGCTACGGCAGATAAAGTATGTGGATGGACGAAAGGAAAGTGTAGGCATGGTGAGACGTGGTGGTGGGATGAAGATATAAGAAGGGTTTTGAAAGTCAAGAAGGAGAGGTTTAGGGTATGGAGAAGGGACATGACGGAGGAAGCGGAGTCTGAGTATAGGAAGGCTAAGAAGGTTGCAAAACAGGCAGTGGCAACTGCAATGACGAAAGCATCAGATAGGTTAATGAAGGAAATGGAATTTGATGTGAGTTCGAGGAAAATGTTCAAAGTAGCAAAGCAGTCAATGAGGGATAGGAAAGATGTTATAGGGAATGGATGTGTTTGGGATGGATCTGGCAAGGTGTGCATAGATGAGGAGGAAAAAGCTCAGGTGTGGAAAGCTCATATGGAAAGGTTGATGAATGAAGAGAATGAGTGGGATGGAGATGGGAATCCGCGGTCACACACGGACCTATAGAGAAGGTGACGATGGAGGAAGTAGAGAAAGCAGTTAGAGAAATGAAAC